AGGATTGGTAACTTCTTGATCAAACTAGGTTTCAAAAATTGCACATCATAACATAGAGTATATTTGAAAGGCTCAAGTGAATAAGATCAAGTCATCATATGTCTCTATGTGGATGATATATTTGCTAGAGGTTCTAATGAAGATGAATTAGTAAATTTCAAAGAGAGCATGGAGAATGAGTTTGAATGTCAAAACTTAGGAAATTTAGCATATTTATTAGGAATGTAGATTTTTAACACAAGGCATGAAGTATTCTTGCACCAGAAGAAATATGTAGAAAACATTCTGAATAAGTTCAAAACGAGCAGTTGCAATCCTGCAAACACGCATATGAAGAAGAACATCAAATTGAAGAAGGATACGGAAGATGAGCAGGTGAATAATACATAGTACACACAAATAATTGGCTCATTGAGATACCTTTGCAATACAAGTTATGATATTTGTCATAGTGTGAGACTAGTTAGTAGATTTATGGAGAATCCAATGCTATGTTATCTAATGGAAGCAAAGAAGACCCTAAGGAACATTAGAGGTACAACTGATTATGAAGTGCTCATGCCAAACCAACAAAATGCAAGAATGAAAGTTAATGTGTATCAAAGATAATAAGAAAAAACACTACTAGATACATGTCCATGCTTGGATCAACACCAATCTCATGAAGTGAAAAGAAGCAAGCAATTGTAGCTTTGTCTTCATGTGAGACAAAGTATTTTGTAGTCTTCTCCTATGTTGTATGTCTGACACTTTGCTTAGACATGTTACTTGAAGAATTGAAGGCGATCAACTTTGTGCAAATCAAGTTGCTATAATGGACAATCAATCAACAATTAATTTGAAAATTCATCCTACGAGTCATGGTATGAGCAAGCACATAGAAATGATGTACCATTTCCTTATGGATCAAGTTGGTAAAGAGAGATTAGCATTGAGTATTGTAGGATTGAGTTACAATTGACAAACTTGTTAAAAAAAACCCTTGAAGCATGCAATATTGGAAGGGCATAAAGAGTTAATGGAAACGAGGAACTTGAAACATCCAGATTAGAAGGGGTACTAGAGTATAATGCTACTTTTAATGGATGTTCTAAGAGCGTTGCAAGTGTGAATTACAACACAAGCAAACAATGACAGTTTGACAGTTATATGGTTGAGTTTGTTTTAATCAATTCTAACCATTTTAATACCATTTCGCTTCCTTAAGTGCTCTTTACTCCTTTTCATTTTCCTCAATATGCAAGTAACTTGATTTATAAGTTAGCTATCATCTCCTTCATTCTATCGAAGATTGTTGATGAGGATATCAACCAAATTTAGTCTTTCTGCAGAGTCTATGGCTACCTGGAGGAACATAATAAAAGAAGCACGTGGAAGTTGATTCAGGATAAGGCTAAGAGTGAGGGAGATATTTTCGTGTGCTTTGGTGACCTTAACGAAAAAATAGAAGGGAGCACCAGATCGAGCAGCCAACTCGCTTGGGGAAGGAAGACTATGGAGTCTTGCAGTTATAAGTTCATGTGGTCTTATAGACGTGAAGAGGTGTAAAACATTCAGTGCACGTTGGATAGGAACATGGCTACAGAACACTTTATCAATTGTTTCTCTCCTATTTGTGTTACAGGTTGATGTTGGGCTCCATTTGGACGAGTTTGCATCTTTTGGTTGTGTAGATAATTCGTGTGAAATGACTAAAACATCTTATAATTTAGAATCGAGGTAGTATTATTCAGGTTTGTGATTAAACAAGTGTTCCTCCTAATTTAAAATTCCCGGGACTATAATTGAGAGTTGTGTCAAATAAAATCTTTTCAACCTTTTCTACATTACTCTTTCTGTTCCACAATGAGTGACTTAATTGACTTTTTCACACAGATTAAAAAAGAAAGAGTAAATGAACAAAAAAGAATGTTATTTTTACTAAAGTACTCTTATCATGTTTTAAGAATGACGAAAGTAATATTAGTTAGAAGGTAAAGTGAAAAATATGCATTAGAAATTAAAACGAGTCATTTATTTTTAGACACTCTTTTATTTCAAATGAGTCAGTCATTCTGAGACGGAGGAAATATCAATTTTAAATAAACGTCTAAATTTGTGAAAAAAATAAAAAAATAAGCAAAACTATAGTTAAACCTAAATATTATTTAAAAAACTTAAAAAATTAACAAATAATATATCACATTGAGATTAATTGTTATGCACTATCAATGCATCACAATCATCCATTAGTATTATTTTTCAAGTAGTTAAAATTAAAGTCAAATTTTTTAAACAAATCAACGGTTGTGATAATAGTGTTTTTTATTTTTTAATAACCAATATGTAGTTTTATTCAAATAAGTTTGAATTTGAAACTAGAGTCTTCTCCCCTGTCTCCCCTTAGTTACAGTTCTTAGTCCAAATTGAATTGAATTTATTGTGTACCAACATATTCGGAGAAAATGTTTCTTAGTGTATTAATTTCTTTTTGTCATTTTGTAAATCATAACCTATTTAATGAAATAATGAGTGGATGCAGAGATACGGAAGCGTTTTATTTCATTTTTTAATTTCATTTATTATTATGCTTACCTAACTTATACAATTTTCCATAAACAACACTTCCTGTACTTCTATTTCCATATTTGAAATCTCAAATAAAATAAGCTTTAATATAATTTCTATATTTCTGTAAAAAAATAGTATAATTTCTTTTTTTAGTTAAAAACAATATTAATTCATTCAAATTTATAGAATACAAATTTAAAATTATTAAAAATTAAAAATAATGAATCAACAAACAAACTTACTACAATCACATTAATAGTATATAACGGCAAAATATCTATCAAATGTATTAGAAGCTTAAAGTGTGCATATAGGTATTAACCAAGTGATATAAATATAAGCATTTGATAATTTTAAGTATCGTAAAGAATAATTTTTTGAGAAAGAAAATACTATTGTAAATGACAAAATTTTCTCTAAAAAAGTTAATAATTTTTAAGACTGAATTTGAACCTAAAATTTATAATTAAATTAAAGGAATTCTTTAATATCTCAACACTAACCTAGTGTGAGTGTTTTGTACCATATTTTTAAATATTATTTAAATAAAACTAAAAAATTGAGATACTTAACCAAAAATCCCAAAATTTAAAAGAAACATAGTTTTAATAATTTATTTATAAAGATTTCATTCCAAATAAAATTAAGATATATAAATTACTAAAATTAAGATAAAAGAAGCATTATTATTAGTTAAATATATTTGAAGTAAAAATCAAATATAATTCAATATTTCTACTTTACAATTAACTGACTGTATAAAATATTTTTACATTAAATCAATTACATTAATTTTTAATATAACCTTTAAATTATATAAGTAGTTTTAAAATAATATAAAATTCATCAATTAAGTCATAAAATTAAATAAAATTCAGTCAATTTTATATATAATATATTTCCAAAACATTGAAGCTTGTGAGAGTATACCATAGTACTAAATTGTTAGAAGAAGTCAAAGACCAATTAAGTTTGGGTTACCTCTTACGAGAAAAAAAATTCTAAAATACTTTTTTTTGGACTAAAATACCCTTCTCATATCTTAATTACCATAACCTATTAAAAACATAGTCTTTTGTCAAAAGAATGAACATAGATTAAAGAACAAGAACAAGAAAAAGACAGTTGAATTCAAAATTTGAATCACAACCCAATAATTAAATTATAATAATATCATATATTAAGATAAAAAATAATTAAATCATTAAATTATAATAATAACTTATATTAAGATTAAAAAAAATATGAATACCACAAAACCAAGCAAATTTGGAGTATCCCAAAGAAATCCCTTACTAATTTCATCTCAGAATAGAATTTAATGCTATCATCAGTTATGCCAAATCTCATTCAATTCACTGCTCCGTTTATTTCTCATCTGAAGAAAAAAGCACTTTTCACAAACCTACTTTTTGAGGTTCACTATCCTAACAAATAAATAAAAGTGTAAGCAAAATCAATGGAATCAAAAAGTTTTCTTTTTTATTTCATTTTCATAGACCCAATTTTGTATTATTAGTAGGGACAAAGAAGATTATATAAAGTAACCATTTTTGAGTTGGTATAAGGCTTTTAATGCATATGTAGTACATATTTTCACAGTGTACTATTATTGTGTTCAAATGCAATTATTATTATTTGGTTGCAGAATTTAAACTCAGTGTTATAAAGGAAGAAACTTTTTGATTATGTGATGTGTGAAGAGAAAATACTCAAATGGGTTTTTGAATTGAAACACTACTCAATGAGTTTTTTGAATTAGAAAAAATTGTTTTTTTTGTTTGTTTCTTAGTGGGTATCTTTCACACATTGCTCCAAAAAGTTTTTTTTTTTTTTCAATTGTTAGAAGCCTTTGGAAGTGCTTTTTCTACGTTTGGAGAGATTGTTATTGGGTGAGTAGAGAGTAGTGGAAAGAGTGCTTTTTGAATTTAAGGTTAGATTCTAATGAACCTATTTTTTAGGTTTCATTTTTCCTATGATTATCACTTTTTTCATGGGATTTTACCTTTATGATTTGTCTGTTATTCTTGTCTCTTTACTAAATGTTTTAGATTTTTTTTCTTTTCAAGTTTTTCTTAGGTTTTGAATCTTTGAATATTTGAATTAAGGTTATTTTATTTTAATTTATTTTTTGTTTTGATTTTGAATTTGAGTCTTTCTGATAACTTTCTGTGACATCTTTTTGTCATTTAATACAGTTCTTCACGAGGTATTGTCAGAGGTTTTATTTTTATATATTTTTTCAAAAATTGTTCCATCTTTATCCAAATTTTAGTATTGAATAATATTTTCCATGTTTTGCTTTCATCACTGAATATGCTAAGATTCTTTCTTTCTCTCTTTTTGCACTAAACTCCATTTGTTTTAAACCTCTCTCAATTCCCTCGTATTGTGTTTATTCAACCTTTCTTTCTCTCACTTTTCAGCTTTTGACTCAAACAAAGTTAGTTATGGGAAAAGCTAGTAGATGGTTGAAGAATCTGTTAGGAATGAAGAAGGAGAAAGAGAAGGAAAAGGAACATATTGATGTTAATTCAGGTTCATTGACACCAAATAACAGTAAGAAAGAAAAGAAAAGATGGAGTTTTGGAAAGCAAGGGAAGAGTTTAGATTCTAACATTACTACTTCTGATTCTGATTCTGCTTGGTTTAGATCCTATATGGCTGATACTGAGAATCAACAGAACAAACATGCAATTGCTGTTGCAGCCGCAACGGCCGCCGCTGCGGATGCAGCGGTGGCCGCAGCGCAGGCTGCGGTGGCGGTTGTGAGGCTGACGAGTCAAGGTAGAGGTACATTGTTTAGTGGAAGTAGAGAGAAATGGGGTGCTGTAAAGATCCAAACTTTCTTCAGAGGCTATTTGGTATGTTTTATGTTTTCTTGGTATTGGTTTTTCTCATTTGGGTATGTTTGTTTTTTCTCAATGTTTGAAAAAAATTGCATTGTTTTAAGAATTTGTGTGACAAAGATATTTTGCTTGATTTCTACTTCTTTGTCTGCTCTCAAAAGGTGAGAGAGAGAGAGTTATTTTAGATTTTTGTTTTTTTTAAGATTCTTAATGAAACAGTGTTTTTTTTTCCTTTTTTATGTTTTGGATCTTTGAATCTTTTGATTTGTTATGGTTTAAGCATTTGATTCAAACTTTATGTTTGTTGAATTGGTTTTTGTTAGGCAAGGAAAGCTCTTAGAGCATTGAAAGGATTGGTTAAGATACAAGCTCTTGTTAAAGGCTATCTTGTTAGAAAAAGAGCTGCTGCAACTCTTCATAGTATGCAGGCTTTAATTCGAGCTCAAAATTCGGTCAGATCGCAAAGAGCTCGTCGATCCATGAGCAAAGAAAATCGGTTTCTGTCTGAAAATCTCGCACGAAAATCTCTGGTAAGTTAGCTGATCTTTCTTATCCTGCAGCCTGCATTGCATACCAAATATTTCCACCGTTGATCAATGCGAGTTTCGCAAGCAAAATCATGTGAAACCGCGTTTTTGTTAGCAAAATCACGAAGAATCCCCGAGATTTTGAAAAAAAACTACACTTGTAATATTGTGTATGAGTTCTGTGAAATCACATTGTTCCTGTGATTGCAATGAGATTGACAGAATCACGATGAACAACTGCGATTTTGGCAAAAACTATACCTTATCAGACTAACTTCAAAATATAGTGTTTGTCAAAATCATGTATCACGTGGCGATTTCGTGAAACTCGCGATAGCGTTACTAATTTCTTTTCTTCTATTAACAAGTTGTGTCGAATTTGTTTTGCTTAGGAACGATACGATGAAACAAGGAGTGAATTCCACAGCAAAAGACTACCAACATCATCTTATGAAACACCATTGAATGGATTTGATGAAAGTCCAAAGATTGTCGAAATCGACACATACAAAACCAAATCAAAATCTAGAAGATTCACCTCAACAATGTCCGAATACGGAGAAGAATTACCACCATGTCATGCCACAATTTCATCGCCTCTTCCAACCAGAATCTCAGTTCCTGATCATCGAAACCATCAACCACAGCAAGACTTTGATTGGTATTTCAACAATCTCGAAGAGTGTAGGTATCCAACAACACATAACACACCCCGTTTCAACCATTCGTCTTCGACGCTTCCTCCAAACACACCATCTAAAAGTGTTTGTGGTGGCGAAAGCACTTTCTATAGACCTTATTATTACTCAAATTTTCCGAATTACATGGCGAATACTCAGTCATTTAAGGCAAAGTTAAGGTCTCATAGTGCTCCAAAACAAAGACCAGAAGTTAAGAAAAGGCTTTCACTCAATGAAATGATGGCTGCAAGAAACAGTTTAAGTAGTGTTAGAATGCAAAAGCTACCATCATCCAATTTACAGACACAACAAGAAGAAGAATCTTGGAATTTTTGAGATTCTCAGTTATCAAAAGATGTATTGATGTTATAGTTAGTGCTTTTGAATTTGATTTTTTTTTTCTTTCTTTCTCATTTGTGTTTGTGTACATTCTTTTAAAGAGTTCTTTTTTCTTCTTTTTATGATTCTCTTTCTTTTGTTATTACCAAGTGATTTACATCTAGTAAAGAATTTGGCTTGGTTTGTACTTTGTACTCATAGTGCTTATTGGTTTATTCTCTCTTTGGAATGTAGGAAAAACCAATGAACAAGAATTTGAAATGTTTAGTGCCTCCTTGAAAAGGAAAGCTTCTTACATCAAATTATTGACTTTGGAATAGTTTCAAATTACTTATCAATAGTTGAAATGTGGGTCACATTACCACAATTTGTTATTAATCTTGAAATCAAATTTACTTCGGTTAAATATTTCTTGCATTCAGATGTTCTGTCTTATTGAATCAAGATCAAACGGTTTAAATTTAAATATAATTTAATTTATCTTAAAATAAAAATATTAAATTTAAATTTTAACCGTTCAATCTTGATCTGCCGAAAATACATTGAATGCAGAAATATTTATATGAGAATATATGAATGTATGGAAAGGTGATCCTAAAAGTTGAGGTTGAAGAAGTGGACAATAATAGGATGGATATCAAGAATGTGGAGTCTCAATCTAAAGCTATTATTTTGTTTATCTTTGGCCATGTGGGGAAACTTTTGTTTGGCAAGAATATAGGATCTAGATCTTTGTTGGGTTTTGTCCTTTTTTTCATATCAATCTTGTGATGTATGTGTTTTCTTCTCAATATTTTTGTAGTTATATGCTTTTATTATTTATGGCTAAATAATTTTTTGGTTTTATAAGTATTTTAAGTTTGTTTTTAGTCCTTTCAATTTTAGTTTTTATTTTATAAATGTTACTCTTGTAAATATTTTTTTAATTATTTTTGATCTCCGCTCTTAACTTAACAGAGCCGTATATATATTATTTTTTAATTATATATATATATATATATATATATATATATATATATATATATATATATATATATATATATATATATATATATATATATATATATATATATATATATATATATATATATATATATATATATATATATATATATATATAATATATATATATATATATATATATATATATATATATATATATATATATATATATATATATATATATATATATATATATATATATATATATATATATATATATATATATATATATATATATATATATATATATATATATATATATATATATATATATATATATATATATATATATATATATATATATATATATATATATATATATATATATATATATATATATATATATATAGTTAAATGAGTTTTTATTTCTATAAATATTATAAATATGGTGATGTCTAAGATAAGCTATCTATTAAACAACTTAAGAATTCTACTCTATCTTAAGATACATATTTAATACAGTATTTTCTCTCAATATCCAAAAATAAATATAATAAATACCTTAAGTTTTTAAATTAATAAACTTGTTTTGGTTTATTGGAATCACCATTCAAAGAATAAATATCAATTTCATCATTTTCACAATCCTTAATCATATATCTTCTTCCTTTTTAGAGGCATTTTCCTTTTGATTTTAGATCATACAACAATTTTTTGCCACATTATCTCTTTTCTATAAATATAATTGCACCATCGAATTGTAAACGCCACGATAAAATGAAGAATTTGAGTCATGCTGACTCCGAAATCATTCAGCTTTATTTTAGGTTAAACTACAACACAAATGAATAGACAATTATGATTGAAATTTTTTAAAATTTGTGATCTTAAATTTTTTTGGACATAATAGTAGTAAATGAAAAGAATAATTTGTCAAATTTAACTTTTTTGTTGTTGTAAGAATTAGACATTTTCAAGAAAATAAGAGAGAACATGGTTGTCTTGAATGTGTTTTGAAAGAAAAAAGTTAATAAAAGAGAGAAAAACACAAACATTTGACTGAGAGAGAAAGAGAATAGGTGGATGTGAGATTGACTGTGCAATAACATGTAAAATCATATAATGTTATATTTGTTTTCGCGGTAGAAAATCCACAAACGTGCGTCTAACTTAGAAGCTACACTTTGTAGCTTCTCTTTTTTAACGGTGGAATATCCTTCAAACATGTGAATAGAAATTCAAACATGTATCTAAACATACAATAAATTTAGTTAATCTAACGGCTCACAATTATTTTTTACGATGGTCGTGTAGTGCAGAAAACAAGTATATTTTATTGTCTCCACAAGGGCTAATTGTGCTTTAAAGATCATTCAATAATTTCTATGATTTTAAAAATGATTTATTATATGGTTGATTGTTTGTGAATACTGAAATGTAAGATAAGATAAAATAAAATGAAAGTTGGTGTTTAATAGTTGAGAAAACTAGCTAGGGTTATATTTTATCGCCCTTTTCTCATGCAATACCTTTGATGAATAATATGCAGTTCTAATCAACTATTAATATTAGCGCTCGTTGCTATCATTCTTTTAATAGTTCATACAAATACTGAACCTAAATCTATGTCTAGGTTTTAGCATATCTAATATATGAAAAGTTTGGATCTAGTAATGACCAGTACCTTTTGAATATCAAATCATACTATGAAAACATGTTTTAGGTAACTAATCTAAACAAGCATTAAGAAAAAAAAAATTATTAATATTAATGCTTAAGAAGAATTACATAAAACGTCATGTCTGGGATCGAGTCACGAGTATTAAGATAACTACATCTAACCCTAACAAAAGAGAAATTAGTTACACTTACTCATCGTAACTTTATAATTAAACCCCCAGAAGAAAGATAATGAAAAACATATACTACTGATTACTCGAACAATGCTTCCGCCCTTGATCTTCCTCTCTTTTCGTCTCCTATTGTGTTTTCCACTCCCTACTAAGCTAATTACTTAATTACACTATATTTCACCAAGTTCTCCAAGATATCTCCAAATTAACAGTCAGAACTCCAATTTATAACGTCCTGACCTACTATTCTTGCTAAGCGAGATTCAAAGCTCTCTTAGCGCACTTACAATCTTCCTCATTAAGATATGACAACTTCTCTATAAGTGATCTTGGTTGCCTTAACCTTGTTTAGCGTGCCTCTATCTCGCTTAAAGAGAAAACCCTTCTTTTTTTCCTTGAAGTGATTTAACCCCGAAGCTTTCTAAACCACTATATCTCTCTTAGTGCACATGCTAGCGAGTTTTGGTGTTTGACTAAGGTTTTCTTGGACTTTTGCTGCCTATTTTTGGCTTAGCGAGGTATTGTCCTTGGCTGATCGAGCCTTGATGCCTGAGTGGTGCCTTTTGTAATTAAAAAGTTCACATGTACATTATATCATATTTTCTTAATAAATTGTTTTTTTTCATTGAATACTTGTAAAATAAGTTAATAAGTGTATGTGAATTTTGCGTATTTTTGGCATTTATCAACTCTCGTGAACATATCTTTTTGTTTGTCCTCAAACGAAATTCATACAAATGGTCAGGAAATTTAATTATGCAATGTTCATGTAAGGTTTCAAGACTTGATCACGTTTTTTTTAAATCACTTTGAAATATGACATGTTTTTTCTTTAAATGAAAGTTCATAATCAACATTATAAGCATCCGTAAAAAATAACATGAAGATGGAAAAATTTCTTTAGCAAAGCATGATTTTAAAATATGTTTAGATCAACAACCAACTATTTGTCATAATCATTATCTCAATATGTATCACTCTAATGAGTTAGTGTTTTCCTAAGCTATCAGATCATGCATCAATTATAAAAATATTTTACATTTCATCTAAGTAATATCACAAGATACATAATCAATCATGGATCACTAATGTATTTTTTTTTCCCACTGTAACGTGGCTGAGCTACAAGAAATTTGTTTTTTTTTTTGTTTTGTTTTGGGATTCAAATGTGTCTATCAGATACGAGAGCAATATTGATGGCTCTTTTGTTTTTCAAAAGTTCTCTTTTTTTACACCTTTAAAACTTCTTCTTTTCGTGATTTCTTTTTTCTGTAAGTTTTGATATTTTTGGCTTTTCTTTTTTTTTCTTCTTTTCTTTTTGGCTTTTCTTTATTTTAATTTCTCCTTTTTTATTGAACCCCCTTGGGATTATAAGAATATCCTATCTTTAAGACAATGTATGAGCTTGTTATGAGAAAATTAAGAACCTTTTCAAGAATTTCTCCTCAAGTGTATTCCAATTGGTCACCACTTGTGTTTGTTAATCAAGGTACCATTCCGTTTCTTTACCGATGAATGAGTGTGCCTCTTGAACGCTGCATCATCTTTAGCTTCTAGAGCTTCAAGTGTATCAAACAAAAGGGTTAGCATATAAGGGTCTTCATAATCTAATCCTACAAAAGGGTTAGCATAAAAAAATTTCAATAAACTTGTTTGTATCTCAACTTGATGGGTATTCCTTTGTAGTATAACTATATGAGCTAATAGTCTTGGTTTGTTATGGCATGACATGCCACTACCATTGTTGTCATTTCAATCATTGCCATTATTGTTGTTTATGTTGACATTTTCCTTCTTTTTATTATTATTGTTGTTGTTATTTCTAGTGTATGCCATGTTTTCTGATTTTGAGACAGAAGACTCTTTAGATCTTGTTGATTGGATAATAACTTTTCTTTTTCTAGTTTTGTTGTTTTTGCATGCGATTTTTTATATTTGAGAATCAAACAAAAGTTGTTCTTCAGGAACCTAACATTGCATAAAGAAATATCAACATACTAGAAAACACTTGTTAGTAGGTTTGTGACTATAAAAAAATGCACGGACACAAATACAAATAGAATACTTAAAAAGATAAAAAACTATTGCAACGGGGACTGGCTATGTTTTAAGGATTATTCAATGGTTTCTAGTATGATTTTAAGAATGATTTATCATATGGTTGATTGTTTGTGAATACTAAAATGTATAATAATATAAGTT